TAGAGGAAACAGCAAAAGGAACCAGCAAAAACATAGGTTTAGCTAAGGGCGGACAGCTCCCCTCATCCTACCTGCTAGTGCCATTTACAAAGCTTACTGTGTAGATGGGGAAACTGAGGCGCTGGGAGATGAAAAGCCCAAGGTCAGCTGAGGCTACTGGCAGAAAGCAGCTGCACCGCCTGGGTCATGCTTCAACACTCTGCCTGCCAGGCAGCCCAGCATCACTCTGCAACAGTTCAAACAGAGGTTTCAATATATACATGATTGATGAGTGATACGAAGTTAAAATTCTGTGTATCCAGGCAAGGTTACATGAGCAGAGCATGTTTGATTTTTTTCCACCTGTTTTTTTTTTTCTTCAGTCCCTGTTCATTATATCATGAGCAGGATTTCTGTTTTGCTTTGCTGTTGCTATGCCCTGTGCTCTGCTTATTTATGTCAGTGTTACTTGAGGTCCAAACTGCCTCATCCAGTTTGACCCCCCCCTGTTAACTTCAGACACAGAGCCTGTAAAGTTTATGAATTTTAGCAGGGGGCAGAATTTAAGTTTTTTTTGTCCTTATTGTTGCATTCCAATTCAGAGGGGACTGTGATTTCCTGGAGTCTTTTCCAGTTATCAGGATATCAGAGGGAGAACTTGTTTCTCTCATAAGGTCCCTCTAACATCTCAAATTCCAATCATATACAACAGCTTGCTTTAATGTTAAGCAACTGGGAGAAGGCAAGGGAGAGATAGGATATGGTTGTCACTTAAATTCTGTGTTCCCCAAATAGCTCATACATATACACATCCTTATACATATTCTGTATGAATATAAAATAATAATCCAGTAGGTGTTGTGATTATTGTAATTCCTGAGAACCCATTCTGGCAGGGAAATGCACACCTCACTTTCCCACCCCATCTGAAAAAAGTGCAGGGAAATCAGAGGGATTGTGATCAGACTGGTTGCATTCAAGTTTGAGTTTTGCTTTACTTGGGAAAAATTATCTCATCCATGGCAAGTACTGCGCATGCAATTCTTGGGGCAAAATGACAGCAGCTTCTTTCTTCAGCCTTTCAGAAGGAAAGAGAAAAAGGATAAGCAGGTGCCTCTGGGCTTCTAGGGAGGGAGAAGTCTATGCAGGGCAGCTGTAGGGTGACTGGGGACTTGTGCACCCCTCACCCCACCACCTGTGGTTGTCCATCTGGGATGGACTTGTGTCTGCTCCATGGGGCAGGTGGAGATGAAGAAGCATCAGGCCTTAGCACTGAGAAGCCTTCTCCTGCCCAATACTTTATATCCTGTGCTCTGTGTCTGGAAATGGCTGCAATACCTTGTTCCAGCTATCTGGAGGCACAAGCTGCTGCCCTCAGCTGTTTCCCTTGGTAAATCACTCCTAAAAGCAAACAGCAAAACTGGCCTTGCAGATTACTCCATTGTTACAGTCTTTCAAGGGCTCCAGGCTAGACCTTTCCTGCCCAAAAAACGCCAGTAAGAATGGGTTTGTCCAGCTTTTCCCAGTTGCTCCATTAGAGGAATGGGCTGCTCTGGAGTGGGTTGAGAAAGCACGTTGTGGAGGCAGCTGTGGTGTATCTGCTCAGCACTGATGCATCCCCTTAGGTGTTACCAGCTCTGGGCTCCATGCAGCCTGGGGGACACCTGGAGATGTCACCCTGCTTCCATCTGAGGAGAGCAGTAGTGTCCTTGTGGATGCAGCTACTTTTGGAAGCAGGAAACTGCTAATGAACAAGATTAGTCCAAAGTAGGTCAGGCCCCTGAGGACAGATTTTGAAATTGGTCCAGTGTTCAATATGTCCTTAATTGCTTTTCCTCATCCCAGGACCCAGTGAAGATTGCAGAGGGCTGATCATTTACATCATCAGCAATTCTTTTTTCTATGTAGATGGTCCCTTGAGCCCTGGGAAATGTCCCCTGTGAGTCTCAAAACCCAGAATCACTCTGGGGGGTGAGAAAACAAGAATTTTAAGCACACTGGGTGAATGGGGAGCACTTCTGAACACTCAGACCCATCACTTCACCTCTAGAAACATAAATGCCAAGAGTGAAGACCCCAGAATTGAAGTGATCTGCAAATCCCAAGAAATTAAGCTTAGCAAATCAGAAGGTACAACCAGATGACAGAAGCACTTGAAAAGGTTCATGTGAGAGCATCATAAGTGTGTGCAACAGGGGATTTAGCACTGATTAATGAAAAATTGCAGGTGAAATCCTGGCTTCTGGTGGGGTCCTCGGGCTTCGCTGCCCACCAGTATGCTAGAGCTTTGCAGGGAGGATGGGGAAAGCTGCAAAAGCTGTGAGTACCTAAACCAAGTAGCAAGCCCCAGTCATTGCATTCCTCTGCTCTGTGCTAACCTAAGAACATTGCCACACAACTCCTGAAGCTGCAAGAAGAGCAGTTGGCACTGGGGAGCTGGGAAGTAAACTGATGGATCTGACTTCAAGCAACATGAAATAAGAGCTTGCTGGAGAGTTGGCACCATTGCTGCTGCTCAAGGGGAGCTTCCATGTGCTTTGGAGATTTGTCTTGCTGGGAAAGGAGTGATGTCAACCTCCAAGAGTAGGTTGTCATCCAAAGCAACAAGGAAAGCTGTTCTTCTGGCTTAACCTTTTGTGGGCTGTGCTATTTATAGCACTTCACTATGTGCAAATAACAAAGTTTTTGGGTTTTTTTTGATGAACATTTATATTTCCAAGGGAAAATTTCTTCAGCCTATAACCAGTCTTAGTATCTCTGCTGGGGACACTAAGATAGCAGTTTTTTCAAAAGATGTCTGTTGGTTTTCCCTTTCTGCTTCTGGGTTTTGTGAACATAAGGTGTCTTTGAGTGCCTGAGTCCCTCAGAGCTAAAAGCCCTGCTGCAAATTTCACTTGTCCTTACTACAAAACCAGTTCCAAGGAGTTCCTGAGGCTCCAAAAAGGCACAGGTGACTGGTAGAGTTTCTAAAGACAGTTGTCTTCAGCAGAGAGGGGAAATGTGGGGAAGTGAAGGGAGGAGAATTCCCCCTGCGCACACTTTGGGTTTCACATGCTGTGTTGCTGACCAAGGTTTCATTGTCTGCTTTCCCAGGGCAGCTTCAATGGAAGCTCCTGTCTGTGAGGAGCTCAGGCTGCTGGTTTCACTGGTCTTGACTGGTGTCCACAGACCCTTCCTGCTGGGCAGAGCAAACCCAACCTTTCCTGTACCTGGTGCTAGCTGCAGCACGTCTTAGTACTGGGCAGGCAGGCTGTGCAGTGATTTATGAACACAGAGCACCCACTTTGAATCTGCACTTACGGGCTCCTTCCTTACATTTCCATACACTGATTTTGGGGCACAGTGGTTTCCTAATTTCAGGAGCCAATTAGGAAGGATCTCTATCATCTATGGCACACCAGCTGAATGCCCTTGCTGAATGTTTGGTTTGGCATTTGCTTGGTTTCTTCTAGAAGCCAGTTTGGGGACCCTTTGCTTAACTCTCCTTATGGTAATATATTGAGACAACCTACCCAAAAAGGATTTTGGTTTAGTGGTTTCTTTCCTACCAGCCTCTTCAAGAGCCTTCAACAAGATATTTTCTGCTGCATTCCATTTTTAACTTATTTATAATCTGTGGTAACACCTCTTCTGATCTGTGAAAGGCTAGCAGCTTTTCATCACTGAGTGCAGGGAAGACAGGCAGAGGTGTGCTTTATAGGATAGGCAGAAGATGCTCTGCACCTTCGCTGCTCAGATGAATCCTGAAGAGTGGAAAGGCAATGCCCAAGCCCTTTTTCTTTGTTGATATTAATTTCCCCATGTACAGAGCAGTGGAGACACAGGTGGCACTGGTCGCTCTGGCACAACTGGTTAGATGAGGAATGTGCTCAGGAAAGGGGCAAAGCAGGCTCTTGCTGCAAGGGCATCTGGTGAGGGTAGGCACACCAAACTGGCAAGGATGGCAAGAGCTAAACAGCAGAATAATTTTTCCCAACAATTTGCTTGTTGTTGGACCAGACAAGCATCACACAACTGGAAGTTATACCTTCATGAGGTGAATTATTTGGTTCTTGGTGACGGTTTTGCATATATTTCTCCTATTATCCCTTTTCAGACCTCGAATGTCCCGTTTTTTAGTGACCAGTCCATAACAATATTTGCATCCTTCCGCTCCAGTAGGGGATTTTCATGCTCTCCTGACTTGCCTCCAGTGACTTTGCAGAGTTAAGCAACTGCAGAGCTTAGAGTAGGAAACTATTTCCCACAACAGGCACTGCTACCGGCAGTGCTGTATGTCAAGCATGTTAGCCCAGTCCAGGAATTCTGTCTCCCTCAAGACATTCGCAATACAAGCTGTAAAAACATGCTGGACTTTTTATATGGAGAATAAGGACTAGATTTTCAGGAGAGCTGAGAGACAGACTTCCCTGGTTTCCTGCAGGGCTGGACTCCATTGTAGTTTCTTTATTGTAAATCTTTTCAGGCTAGTTTAATAGTATCATCTAGAGTGAGTGTTCAGCTGGAGAGGAAAGGTGCACACTCAGTGTGAATGATCTGGCAAATAGGTCCCTCAGTGCAGTATTTTGTTTGCTGATTTGATGCCCATTGTGGCCTTGGTAGGACTACTGAGTGACTTTGTTACTCAGAATAGTATAAGGTTTTAATAAAACCTTTACTTATTTTAGTTTTGCTTATTTCAGCATGAATGAATCTTGTAGAAAGTGACTTTTTCTTTTACTTTAGCCTGAACTGGGAGTAAAGACCAAGGGATTGAGTGCTGCTGGAGTTGGACTGTTGTCCTGCATGGAACTAAAATCCAGCTCTGATGGCAACAAGCTGTGCCACTGAAAAATTTCCTGAAAGCCACAAATGAACTACAACCTTCCTGCTGGGCTATGTTTACCTGAATTTCATCTCCAACAGCTAGTAGGAGTATTTGTACCCTTAGCCTATCTGCCATTGGATGCCATCTGCAAAACTACCATGGTGGCAAAAGCTATTGAAGTTGGAATTGTGGCACTGGTGGTACCACCAGTCACCTTGTAGGTTACAGTGCAGTTGCTAGAGTACGCACTGTTATCACCGTCTTTGGTCGAAAATAGTATGTTTTTGTTTTGGGCCAATGAATCCCCTATGGAGAAAACAAGTCTTGTTAAAAATCAACTTCCGTGTGTCACTAGAGCCCTGTCCCCACCAGCATGGCTGGTCCATCCTGCATGTCGTCTCTGGCCTTCCAGGAACATGCAGTTCTCTGCAGCAGGGCAAAGTCGCTACCCTCACACCTCCCCTTACTCCAGCCAAGGGTGGTGAGGACCAGTTGAGTGAGAGTGGAGGAGGCAGTTTGGACTAGTGGCAAGGTCTCTGTGATCAAAGATATTTAGGTCTGGCTTGTCTCTCTCTCGCTGCTGTTACTTGCCTGTGACAGTGTGCTGTCTGAAGTACTAGAAAACCCAGAAATGAAAACAGCTATCAGTTGCTATTTTAAGTGTCCAATAAATTCCATATCCAGGTCCCTCTTCAGCAAAATGTTGCTACATCAAAGTTTCCCTTTGCAAATAAAGAGCTTAGTTGGTACAACTGATTCTGGATACCTGATGGAGTGAGAGCTCCAGGGAGTATTATTAAATTATGCTGTGCCTTTTTAGACTTTAGGACTAGTGACCTTGGTCTCAGAAGAGCTTGTAACCCCAGGAGCATCGGTAATGTTCTGGGGTGGTATTTCACAGATGAGACAAGATCATTCGCGTGATGCAAAAAGCATTTCATGTCTTGCCACTATATAATACAACATTTCATCTGCAGATCACCCTTGCCTTCCTGGAAGCTCCAGTTTATCCCTTGGATGCTCCTTATTTGCATTGCCACTGCGGAAGTTTCCAAGGATGAGTTTGTAATTTTCAGTCTCCTTTAAAATTCTGAATGATGTATATTAGGCAAATGATGGTTGTTGTCAAAGTCTCTCAGGTCAATGCGAAGCTCATCATTGCCTAATCACAACAATTTACAAGCACACTAGTAGACACATTATGCCAGCGCTTTGTTGGATTTTTTTATTCTGTATTTCTATTTCTGTGGTCTTTAGGAATTCTGATTTATTACTGAAGAGATTCCTCACCCCTGTTTAGCTCATGGTCACTCCTCAGCTCATTAAATATCCATAGCACAACTGAAATCAGTGCTCCTGGATGTTAGCTGAGTCTCCTGCCTCACCTCTTGACTTACAGGAAAAGCTGATGTCTTTTTTTTGGGAAAAAACAGATTTTGTCAAATCTTTTTTTTTTCCTTCTATTTGTAATGATTTGTTTTGGTGCTCCATCTTTATGATTATCTTGTTCCTTCTGAACTTACAGCATTCCTCCATTATCTTTCTCCCTCTTGTCTTAGAGTAAAGCAGTGGATTGGGATGTGCTATGGGACATGCAGAGGGGAAAATGCTGTGGTTGCTGCCAGAGTTATCCCCAGCAGGTTTTTCCAAAGACAAATCGATGGCTCCATGGACTTTTTCTGAGACTGTAATTCGTACAAAAAAGACCGGGAGCCAGCTGACCGAATTCTGGCTTGAGAATGACAATATTCATATGCTGACATCAAAGGGTAAAGAAACTGCTAATGCATTTTCCCAACACCGTTCTCACCCAGCGGCAGGAACTTAAAATAAGTCCAAATGCAACAGCTCTTCAGCACAGCCTGACCAGGGAGATATGGAAACAGCTGCATCCCCAGCCCCTTGCCTTCAAGCAGAGCCTTTGAGGGAGACAATGAACGTGGCTGCTATTTTGGCTGTCTCAGTAGGGATGGAGGGTAGGAGCGGTAGCTTTAGACAGTGAGTGAGCTGTGAATAACCCTGGCAGATGAGTCTTAAAAGAGAAAGAGAAAGAAAAGTTATGCCTAAAACAATTAGAGCATCTTCAGTGCAAGGTGAATGATGACAGGGAGATTTTCATATGAAGTCATTTTATCATGAAGCTGTTCCAAGTGTCATGTGGCCTACAGCAGATGGAATGACAAAGTCCACTTTTGGGGAAAAGATTGTTTGTGTGCATTTGCTAGGGATCTTATAAAATAGAGCAGTATTCCATACTCCTGCACCTCTGGATCATGGCTTAGTAACAACTATTAATCATAATAAATGATGGCATGATGATTAGGATTAAGGAAAATATTTAATTTGATAATTTAGCAATGTATGCACGGTCCTGGAAATTTACCCTGTAACTTTAACGCTCCTTATCACAGTGCCATTAAGAAAAGCATAAAATAAAAGTCTGGGATTTTTTTGGCTCTAACTGAAACGAAAAAACCCTCATACAATTTATTTTTTAAAAAATGGAGTGTGATATTTATTTCTCTGTTTTATGCTTCACATATTAAATGCTCTAGTTTAAAGACCCACAGACTTTCACAGTCAAAAAGCCATCCTGCGATGTCCAAGATGTTTTGGATCTCTTTTTGCTGCTTGTTGGCTTAGGGGCAGGAATCTGCTTTCCCACAGGGGCTGATGTGGCGGACAGATGAATGGGCATTTGCCTTAAACATTTTTGGTTCATAAGATATGCTGGCCCTGCAAAGAACTGGACAACAGCTAATTGTGCATGTGCAGGGTGCTAGTTCATCGATCTTGGGGAGGGTCTCCTCAAACACCTGGGATGCACTGAGCCTGTGCCGAACGAGACCATGCCCACCTTCACATTGTATCATGCCCACCATGCATATGCATCAAGTTTCTTGGAACTGGGCGGAGATTTGAGGACTTGAACTGTGTAAAAAGGTAACACCTGAAGCTGGGGTGGGACCCCCACCACCAAGACACCAGAAGAAAGAGGACCAACGGGACGCCGCTGGATCCATGGATGGTGAAATCTTCTTCATCTCTCTCTCCCTCTTTCTCTCTCCTCCCCTCTTTCTTTTTATGACTAGTTCTAAGTAAAACATGCAGCACGGGACTTGTTAATCTAGTTACATCATCCACTTCAGTAGTCATCATGGAGTTATTGTATTACCCAAACACCTTGTGTTTTGTATTAATAAATCTTAAAACTGGTTGGCTGGTGTCATTTCACTTTAATTCAGTCCAAGGGAATTATGAACTTGGTCATTGATCCCAAGGGGAAGAAGGTCATCCTAACGAGCTCCTTTTGGGTCATGACAGCTGGGGCAGCCTTGCACCTCTGCCTCAGTGGCACTTACCAGCCAGCTGCCCCGTCCATGTCCATCTCGTAAAGCACAGCCGCGGCAGGGCAATCCCAGGGGTAGACGGTGTACCAGTCGCTCAGGACAACCCCTCTGGCTAACAGCTCCCAGCAGCTCTTTGCTCCTACGTAGATATTAAACCAAGAATTAATTACTGATAGGTGAACTGGAAAAGGAAACTAGCATTGCTGGCAAAGTTGTCACTGTTTTAGGTGTTTTAAAATTGCATAAATATGGGGAAAGGAAAGTGCTGACAATACTTGGGTAGATCTTGTCTGGGTATGGGTCTTATTCTCAGATTGTTTATTTTTAGATAGAAATGTGCACAAGAACTTACTCAGAGACACATACTTCTGTTTAAAGAGACTGACTGAAGCACACGTTCCCCAAATCCCATCATCTAAATTCAACTCTAAGCAGCTTTTCTGTTTGGTTTTTTTCTTCTTTTTTCTAAAGGATCCTTGTAGACTTGTGTACATATAGTTAGCAAAATAAAATTTTATGAAAGACATGGTATAAAAGACATGATATAAAACACAACAAAAAAGGAGACAAGATGGGTGTTTTAGGAAACACCCACCTTTTCTACACAATAGGTCTGGCACATCTGTCAGAAAAATACAAAGATCTTAAGTAGTGACCGGAAAACTGGTGTAACCTCTTTATTTGTCCTGTGCAATGAAACAATAAAATTAACGGCCCATAGTTTATGTTGTGCAGCTATTACTAAACAGATCTTGAGTTTTCTTTTTGAAAAGAGTATACTTTATTGGACACATAAGTCTATGAATTTTAAGAAGAACTGGAAAGAGGAGACTGGTTGGCCTGATCTCCACCTGGAATGGCTTTTTTTACATGACCACAGGATCAGCGGATAATTCAGGCTGGGAAGCACCTCAGGAAGTCTCTTCTCCAAGCTCCTGTTCAAAATAGGATCAGTGCTGAGCTTAGACCAGGTTGCTCGTAGCTTTATCCAGTTGGGTCTTGAAAAATCTCCAAGGATGGAGATTGCACAGCACTCCTCATGGGAAAAATGTGTTTGAATTGGGTTTATTCTGCTGATGTATACTTGGAGGTTTCTGTGTGTCCTAGTTTGGCTGAAACAGAACTATTTCTGCTTTCAGTAGATTTTATTTTCTTCAGTTCAGTTTTCTCAGTACCTGCCCTGTCTGAAGCTCACTACAGGCTCCAGGCAGTGCCTGCTGTC